AAATATACAAATATATATATATCAATTTTGAATTTTTTGTCGCTTAGATTGATTTTCCTTTTTTAAGGCAGTATACTTTTGACTCTACCTATACAGTTCCTTGCCCCGGCTGAGAAGGGCACATAGGCAAATGGATGCCTTCCTGTTGCATTCTCGGGAAAAAATCTCTCTGGGTTAAATTTTTCGGGATCTGGAAAGATTTCAGGATCTTTATGAAGCATAAATGGAAAGATAAGGCAAGAGCTCCCCTTTTTGACTTCGTAATCCACTAGAAATTTAAAAAAACCGTTTTTAATAGATGAATAAATACAACACATGTTTGAAGAGAATGTGGTATTTTGATTTCGGCAGAGTTAAGGAAAAAATTCAAATTAATTGTCTAATTATGTTAAGTTCTTAAATTACATTGATGTTAAAATGGTAATTTTACTGGTACAATGTTAAGAAAGAAAAGATCTCATCCAAAGAAAAATTGTTAAGATAATAATTTCAAATTTAATTGAATTTTGTTTCAAAAATCAGATAAATGATTATGAATATTCACCTGTGTCGAACCCTTAAAAGAAACGAATACAATCAGGTACTTTTAAAATTGTTTGTGTACACTATGTCTGTAAGTAAAAGTTATACAGTCAAGAAGACAATAGTTAAACTTATGTTTTTTAATACAATTTCAAACACAAAGTAAAGAGGGGGAAAACGTTGTAGTTTAAAAGATTTTTAGCAAATCCAACCATGGTCTCTTAGTTTGAGCGTGATTGAGTGTTTGGTTTAAGAGCACGGGATCCAAAGGTTCAAACAAAAGGCTACCATTCCTTATGCGTGAGTGCCATCAACTCACAAGACATAAAAGCAGAAAACTTTTATCAGATTTAGAAATAGACTTCTAGAGATTAGTAGAAAACTTTTAGAGATCAAACAAAACTTTGTAAAGCTGATTAATCAACTTTTACACTTCTCATATACCTGGAAGCTATTCAAGCAAGTTAAGTTTTTATTTATTTTTGGTTATTACCTTAACTTTGGACATAGTCAGAGATCGGTTTTAACGAGCATTTTTCAGTTTACCCTGCTCCTTGTTGAATATGCGATCTATTGTAGTATGTTTTTGTAGCTTATAGGAAATTTACGCACATTAAATTTGTTAATATGTTTTGTAGAAGATATGCTTTTTTTCTGAAACAATTTTGAGGTTAACACTTAGAATTATAAAATTATTTTTACTTACACACATTGAAGTTTTCTTTAACTTCTCTAGCTGTGAAAGTCACTGCAGGATATAATCTAAGAGTTTCCTATTACAATTAAATTTGAAGCAATATACTTAATGCAATTAAAGAATAACAGTATTTTCGAATTGAAAATTCGTAACCTAAAAGTATACCTTAATAACACACTCCAAGTACCTCATACGCAATAAGTCATTACGTTCAATTTCTCTTTCATTATCACCCTCAAATATTTCATCCAAGTCTTCTTGTATTTTAATCTGCACGTGTCTATATAATCCAACTAAATATAATGTCCAAGAAATTGCCATAGCTGTTGTATCATAACCCTAAAAATAAATTTCGAAACTAACCTACTGATATTAAAAAAATTACCTTATTAAATATTTCAAAAAATGTAGCACACATAATGAATCAATTTAATACGATGCGTAATTATATCTTTCAATCGGGTCTGGTTCATTTCCTCGACAATCACTTCATCGACACCACTTCATCGACAGGCCATTTCATCGACTAGGTCATTTCGTCGACAGGCCGTTTCCTCGACAGGGTTGTTTCGTCGACAGGCCATTTCGTCGACAGGGTCATTTCGTCGACA